ATTCGAATAGCTAAGCTAAGAAACACATTAATGTTGTTAGAAACAAAGAAAAGAGTACTGAACTGTTATCATATATCAGTCCTATTGCATGGGAGTGAATGCCGGACGATCTCCTCACAGATGAAAGAAATCTAGAGGCAACAAAAAGGTAATATTACATAAGGTTACTGAGAATCCTCTGAAGGGAGCAGGTAATCAACCAATAGGAAATTTGAAAGAAAAAGGAGACTTAGAAGCAGAAAGAGACAGCTGGAATTTCTTGGGCATATAGTGAAGAATGAAGGCTTGGAGAATTTGAAACACAAAGGGCATATCGACGGAAAAGGGATATAGGAAGGTAGCAGGCTATGGACCTGACGAGCTTGTGTGAACAGATGGTGGAATTGTGGGGAGGAAGTCTGAGAAAGGATCAAACGTTGCAAAGGAAAGAAGTTTATGGAGCATCACTTCTTAAAGGGACACAACACATAGAAGAAGAAGAAGAAGAAGAAGAAGAAGAAGAAGAAACAAAACGATTGACGTAACTTTGATAAGGTTTTGCGACATTTAAAAACCGCGTTTTTTTTTGCATTTCTGATATCGCGTTCTTCTGTGGATATTTTAATGATGATAATAATAATAATTAGAAGAAGAAGAAGAAGAAGAAGAAAAGGAAGAAGAAGAAGAAGAAAAAGAAGAAGAAGAAGAAAAAGAAGAAGAAGAAGAAACGAAACAAATGACGTACCTTTGACATGGGTTTACAACATTTAAAGAACGCAATTCAAAAGACAATGTTTAACAGTTGTTTTTTTTTTGCATTTCTGATATCGCGTTCTTCTGTGGATATTTTAATAATGATAATAATAATAATAATTAGAAAAAAAGGAAGAAGAAGAAGAAGAAGAAGAAGAAGAAGAAGAAGAAGAAGAAGAAGAACGAGGAGGAGGAGGAGGGGAAGAGGAGACAAACAGAACGAATTTACTTAGAGAGCAGGATATTATTTGAGATGTAAATATTCGAGTAACTATGTAGTCTAGGCATTGAGATGCAAATATCTGAGCACATGGTCTCGGCTTATTGTTCAGCAAAATAGGATTTATTCATCTCTTCATCAAAATTTGAATGAGAAATCCATATATATGTGCATTTCATAAACTATTTAACAAACTCTTAAATATACACACCGTTCGACGATGTCTGCTGATATTTGTGGTTCTCCAGATCCTTTTGCCCTGCACAAATAGCTTTCAACTTTTTGCGCCATGTTCAAATCTGCATTACACTTGGTCTATTTTTAAAGAATTCTCTCCGAAATACCCAACGCACAGGAAAGTTCAGCTGTGGCCGGCCATACTCTAACACACAAAAAGCCTTTTATTTTCAACTGAATGGCATCTCTATACATTAAAAAAAAACTTTTAATGACAAGTGTCGACATTTTACGTGATAATAACAACAAAGGTGAGGACACTAGTAAATAAAAATGAAACTCATCCCACGAATTCAGGAAGAAGGCAGTCAGGTGATAATAACAACAAGGATTAGGATGCTAGGACGAATGTAAATAGTTTAAATAATAATAACTCCTCATCCCAGAAATTCAGATAGAATGCAGTCAGGTGCTAAGAACAACAAAGATGAGGACAATAGTGTGAATGTAAATAGTGTAAATAATGCTACCTCCGCATCCCAGAAATTCAAAGAGAAGGCAGCCAGGTGATAATAGCAACAAAGATGAGGACAATAGTGCGAATGTAAATATTAGAAATAATGATAACCCCGCATCCCAAAAGTTCACACAGAAATTATCAAGTATTCTATATTAATATATAAAATGATCAAATAATAATTTATTCATATTACTCTGATGTTGTTTTAATCTCTATTTCTACATATTTAATTCTAAAACAAAGAATTGTGGATTAGTGTCGAAACAATGTTGAACTTAGTAAATATCTACATGGTGACAGATAGTTTTCTCGTGACATTGATTCTATGTCCCTCCTGCATTTCCTTCTGTCCAATACATGTTCAATACACGATAAAAATATTAACATTGATATGACAGCATGATTTTCATCAATCCCGACTTACCATCGATTTCTGTGTTTAGCCTGATGTATCGCAAACCGACCGCTGGCAATCATTCAGTCATAAAACATGGCATAAAAAGAACGCATATTCTCGATCAATAGAAAGGAGAAATACAAAGTTTAGACAATTCAATGGGCTACAAGTTGAAGCTGTTTCACGATGCAATTTCTTGAAAGTCGGTAGCCGATTCAACATGGCCAGTTTCTAAAAGGCTCAAACCTAGATTAGAATTTGCAGACTGAACTGCTATATTCTGATTGCTTTATTAGAAATTGGGATAAAACTAGCATTAAGTATCTCTTTACCAAATATGGTGGTAGTCGTAAGATTCAGAGAGAAAAATCCTTGAACAGATTTTGATCAGAGAGGGGATCGTCTATTTATTGAGATACCCTTTTTTTTTTTAAAAAAAATTCTTTGATTTTATATGTCGGTTGTACTATATTTGTGATGTACTGCTCCATTTGTGCACGAGTTTTGTTAAGTTTCTATAAGTGATAGTTCAACTAAGGAGTTAGTTAAGGCATTTCACGATCAATGTAACATTTTACTACAAATTCTTTTAAAATTATTGTATTGGAGATTATTAACACTAGGATGGCCGAGGTGTCGTTTCCGACACTTTCAAATTTTCAACAAATTACTATGGAATAACTAGGTTTGGTTCGATGCTGAGGCTTATGGATAATTATTGAATTTTAGCAAATATGCTTAACAGATTTAATTCTTTAAAAAATATTCAGTGGAATAGCTGATATTTGAGGTTTTACCTTGGATGGCCGAGGTGTCGTTTTTGACACCGAGGGCTATTTATAGGGTAAATGCATTGAAAATTTTCTCACAAGCAATAATACTTGTGTTTATGTCCCCTATATATCTATTTGTCTATCTACCTACACACACATAATTTATATATATATATATATATATATATATATATATATATATATATATATATATATATATATATATATAATCACTTTCTTTCAGTATGGGGTATACTAATATTTGTGAATTTCTTTTCAGACTTGTTATTCCTGACTTGAATATTGAATATATTAGAGATGGCTGCTTCATGGCGTAATGTAAATAAAAGGTGTCAAAAGAGCTGGACATCCTAGTGTTAAAGATCTTCCAAACTGCGCAAGAATTCTTAACCTTGCTGCTAGATAGGATCGATTCCTGCTAAGCGGTTCGTAAGGTGTAGGCTGTACTTCTGAGTACAATTTTTTGTATTACATCAAAGCATGGGCTTCCAAGAATCCTTTCAATGAGTCTATTAGAATCTTTTCCAATCAACCTGAGGGCTCCAACTGGAATTGTTGATGTCCTCATATGCCGTATTATTGAGATTTCGATTTATTGGTAGTTGTAATTTTATAGCTTTTTGAATATCTTCAAAGATACATTGCAGTCTGCAGGGACTGCCATGTCAATAAGGAGGCACCGTTTTTGTTTTTAATCACGATATTGGGGCAATTATCTTTGATTATTCTGTCTGTGCAAAATTATTAAAATTCCTATCTCCGTAACCGGGTCTGGGTGGTGTTCATACCAATTTCTTGCTGTTCTGGTCTTAAGTGAACTAGTTTTGGAAAAGGTATGGAACTTGGAATTTTTAGGCGATTCTTCGAAATTCAGAGGTAAATTCCAAACGTTTGGCCAATAACTTATGAGGCTAAGTCAAAAAATATCAGAAATTTCTCCATAACATATCTTTAGGTTTTTGTCACACTAGCTTCTGCGCATGCGTGCTTATAGTTGCTAGTATTGTGGTCACTGGATCAAAGTTTGAGCTTGATCGCGCCAGTTTTCTTGCTGCTGTTACAGTATAAACATGACCGCTCTGTGAGCAGTGTGCACCAAGGAAGAACAAAGAGCAGTGATACGGTGACATTTCATATCGCGTAGAAGTGTGAATGAGTGGATTGAGTAATGAGTGGTCACACTAGCGTGATTCACGAAGATGTATAAGGGCGCCCGTCAACTTTTGCCAATAACGAAAAGATTCATCAAGCTTGAAAGATAGTAATTGCGAAAGGCGAATTATCATCGATGAGGTTGCATGTTCTATGCAGATTAACCTATCAAATCATCCATAAGGAGCTCGGCTTCAATAAAGTCTGTGCAAGATGAGTGCCCAAGAGAGCTTACCGCATAGTAAAAACATGTTTACAGTACCGCTACAACAATGAAGGTGATGAATGTTTTTAGTAGAATATGGAGATGAAACTTAGGTCCATCACTGTGAGCCAGCATCCAGAATGACCCAGGATTGGGACGTATCCATCGATCGATCATTCTGTACTCAAAGTAAAATCAAACATTTCTGGTGTAAATATATCAATCTGAAAGATGACGTAAGATCCTCGAAAACCGGAGATAATATCGTGATGGTTGAATAACGATGCTACGTAATGATTTAACAGAAAATGCATTGTCCAAAGAAGATTTGAGATCTAAACACATCGGCCAGTGATAAAAATATATAATTGCAAACGGCATCAAGACAGTCAGGCAAGTCTATTTGCATTACTTCTTTTATAACTTTCAGATGCAGCAAAGGGAAAACAAAAGAGTTCTTAAATGATCGGTACGTTACATAAAGGCATCTGTATTGATGCGTGCAAAATCTGGGATGAAAGGGGTAACACAGCGGGAAAAGTGAAAGGTTTGCCATGACGGAGTTTATGTCTTGCGAGCGTGTTTATAAATATGCATTAGTTATTTGATAGTAAGTCAAAGACGAAGACATTAAGATAGGAAACACTCGATTCTAGAAACAAATTATGGTAGTTAATATGTGGCGACCAAGAACGTATACTCGACACCAAAGTTCACATGTCAGATTACGTCCGTTGAGATACACATATATCTCGCCCTCACAGTTTATATATATATTCGTATTCGTCCGTTACGGGCAGATCATGCTATCTTTTTGTGTATCGATCTTTTCTGTTTGTTATTTCACTGTTTTTTCAACTATCATCTATCTATCTATCTATCTATCTATCTATCTATCTATCTCAGTCTGCTTTTTCTGTTCAGATTATCTATCTATCTATCTATCTATCTATCTATCTATCTATCTATCTATCTATCTATCTCAGTCTGTTCAAATCTATCTATCTCTCTATCTATCTCAGTCTGTTCAGATTATCTATCTATCTATCTATCTATCTCAGTCTGTTCAGATCTATCTCTCTATCTATCTCAGTCTGTTCAGATCTATCTATCTATCTATCTTCCACTCGTATGCTACCTCAAAGTAAAATGAAGGAAATTACATAAGGGTAAAACAACACCTAAACTGCATTACAACAGACTCCCGAATGATCTAAGTTACAATGAGATGTATATAGATAGTGATAAAACCAATTATAACTTGAGCAAGACTAAACATTTAAAGTAGAAAAGTTGAAAGAATTACTATTGACATCGGCGAGTGAGATCTACCCAAGGAAAACGAGGCAAGAATATAAAAAAAGAGACAGATTAAATTATCGAGATCATTAAAAAGTGTTAAAAAAAAAAAAAGCAGAAAAAAACATTTCCAGGGAATGGTACAGAGCACAAACATTGAAAACATAACTTAGTACCAAATGTAGGCAAACTAAAGAGGAATGGCTCAATGAAATGTGCACGGAAATAGAATGATGACGGATCATCATAGAATCATACATAAAGCAAATATATACGAAATAATGAAATAATTAACATAAAAAAAGATCTGCTCATCGACAGTTTGTATAAAATCAAAAGAGAAGCAAGAACACTAATAACAGAAAAAATAAAAAACTACTCCAAAGATGGCACAAATACGTCAGTGAACTATTTCATGGTGAAGGAGGGAAAATTCTGCAATTTTATTGGTCGTGATCTGGCATCTAGACTTCAATTACTTTCTCACCACTGTAACGTAGCTTCCCTGTGAACATCCTGTAAATATTTTCAGGATAATTGTTCTGATGAACTTTTCTGTTTGATACCTCGATTGTCGGCAAGGATTCCTCATTCCCAGTTGAAATGGATAGATGCAGCCATAAGTTCTATGTTAACAGTTTCTTCACTCGGTTAGGGAACACTGCCTTCCGGTTTCTTGCTTTCAAGTCAACTTTGATCTTCAAGAATTTAAGCGCAATGGCAATACGTTATGTTCCTTTTTCTTAATTCTTGTTGTTTTATTGTTGTATATATATATATCCTTAATAACGTTTTCTTTTTCTCATATTCTCTCATAGTCAATAACCCTTTCTGTCTTTATTGACTTGCTGGAGGTGAAATGATTTTATTAAAAAATCGATAGTTGGGCTTGTTTGATTCTAACGATTTCAATCACTCGTTTGACGCTGTTGATAATGATTGGTGTTTAATGTTCGCGATTTTACTAGTTTACGAATTTACTGTCAGAGTAATTGTAGTTATATATGAGAGAAATGTAGACGAAGCAATATCCGCGTTTTTTATGAGTTTTGTGGAGAAGAAACCATATATACATCAGGGGTTCGTAATCACTTACGCCATGGCGATTACTAACGTTGGAATCATTTGGCTACCGTACGTCCATCCTTAGGGATATTTTTCCGTTTGCGTTTAGTTTTGATGTATTAGTGTAATTTATGAGTTTGCGATCAACGACAACACACACGCACTCATATATATATATATATATATATATATATATATATAATATTTAGTGCGTTTGAAAATCAGTAATCTCTTTTTTTCTCTAATTTTTTTTTCTGTTTATGACGTACGGGATAATCTGGGAAGGATTCTGTGGTTCCACGAGAAAAGGAAATGGAAGTACCGAGCAGTTTTATGTTTCCTGTGTGAAGCCATTAGCAGAATAAGACGTGTTAGGGAAAGGTGTTAGGCAAGAAAAAAAAACTGAAATGAATAAACCTAAAAAAAAAAAAAGAAAAGAAAAAGAAAAATAGCTAGGTACTTGAGAAAGAAAAAAATGTTCAAACGAAAGGAAATAATTAAATGAAATTTTTTTTTAAGAAAAAAAAATAGGATTTTGCTAAAGAAACATTTTTTTTTTCAATGAAACAAAAAACGCGCAGAACAAAGGGAGGGAATCAGGAGGTTAAACAAAATGGAATAAAGGAAAAAAGAAAAATAAGTAGAAAAAAAGAGAGAAAATCAGGGGGAGTAGAAATGAGCGAGTTTGATCTAAATAATAAAAAGAAATTAAAAAAAAGAATAAAAAAGTTCAAGGAAAGATAGAGGGTAAAAGATTTCAGCTGTTACTTATAAGGAAACATTCAGCAATCATTGACCAAGCAGACAATGCTACTGTAGTTTGAAACTAATAAAACCTTTCTCTTAAAATTTTTTTCTCAGGAAAATATATTTCTCAAGTAGCTGTTATCGCTCTTTCGTGTTTAGACGGGAGTTTCCTTCCGAATCTTTTATTTAAAATAGTTTGGAAGCTCAACATTTTGATTATATTAGTATTTTCTCTTCGAATTACATGTGCTATTCTTTTTAGTTGTTGCTTCTTTTGAAAGTCCCAATGTTATTTTTCTTTTGACACACTTTATTATGACTCTGTAGCGCCTGTCCATACAATTACATTTAAGTCATTATTGCTGTTGAAAGCCCTCAAACGATGTGGTTACCTACCGTTCTTTTTGTATTCTGTGGTGCCATTCTACAAGAAAGTGGTTCTATACAGCTGACAATTTAGATATTTCGAAACGAGTTTGGGATCGAGATTTTATTTTCATATATTGCTTTTCAATTTCCTTATCTCCTATACTAAATTTGTTATAACTGATCCATATAAGGAGGCATTTGAAGTGTTTACTATTTACCAATTCTACATCCTGAATTTTTATGATAGATTCAGGGTAGGTGACATCACGGCTTTCATTCCAATTCCAGATAATAATTTCTGTTTTGGAAACATTTGAGTCCTCTTTCTTAGAACACTTGGTAGAAAATGTTTTTTTTCAAGTTTTTTTTCTCATCCCAACTGTTTGTATGGAGTTTCCTTGCATTTTTTGATGTCGTCTTTAAACCCCTTTGGCAGAACGAAAACCAAATCGGGCTGTGAGGAGTTGACTTTTATAAAACTATTATATAAGGATAAAGTGTCGCTGCCGACACTTGAGTGTGAACGTAGATCGCCAATGAGCAAACACAAGTAATCCCATTATTGAATTCAGTAGACCACGTGGCCATAGAGGAAACGCATAAGTAAGAATTAGCTACGCGTCTAATTTCTCACTTTCTCTAATCTATTCACTATACTAATTCTCTATTAGGATCACTATTCGGTCGTTACTATTCGATCGAGTATAGTCGAGCAAGTACTATTAGTGCGAGTGTTATTCGAAGGCGTCTGACACCAGTATTGTTCAACGGCGTTACTATAGTTCTATCTGCGTTAAAATCTCTACATTACGAAAGTGACAACGAATAATCGTTGACATCGGGTGACAATGAGTGTTCGCTGACATCACAAAATAGTTTTAACGAGACCGTAAACGAAAGAGAAAAGTTGGTAGATATAGAGAGAAAGAGAGAAAGAGTGAAAGAGAAATAGAGAGAAAGAAGACATTCTTCGGCAATGGTGGGCAAGTCTCAATAAGGTAGAAAGAAAAAGAAGAATGAGAAGAACGCGGGAGTAAAGGAGAAATAAACAGAGGTAAGATGATGAAAAGCCAGTAGAAAAAGAAAGAGAGAGGGGGAGAAAGAACGAGAGTGATGAATGAATAGACAGAGTAACATTGAAAGGTTTCAAGAATAGATTAATGGAAAATAAAAGCCGGGAAATACGTTGACACAGAAATGATAAAGAAATGAAAGAAATCAGTTGACTAAATTTGAACTCGAAGTTGTTGCTTCTTAGTTTCAAATTCAGCCAATCATTTCGGTTTTCCAAAAATCTATTTTCCAATGAAGTAACCGCAGACGTCTTCAATACCCCAGCACTTTCATACGTATCCTAACCGATTTTTTTCATCCTACTGTGTGATTGATTTCGATTATTGATTATTCTTCAAACTTTTCAGTTCTTCCAACGTTTTTGCAAAGCTCATCGGTATTACTCTAAGCCAGGCCAGAAACAAAATACGAAGAGAAGTCTGCATGCGTCCCGTTTGATTACTGAGTTTAGACCGCGGGCAAGCTTGCAAGATAGACAATATTTTTTGTGTTCATCAGAATAAATTCGGTGACTGATCGCGTACGAAAAAATTCAGTTTCCTGTAAGCATGAATTTATTCAACCAATAGTTCACTGGCTTTGTATATAATTAATCCTTTTAACTCTGCATAGAAAAAGAAAGAGTGAGAATTTTCTCACCACGCTCTCTCTCTCTCCCTCTCTCTCTCTCTCCATTTATATTTTAATTTTTTCTAAGAATTTATTCTTGCGGCCTCCGGCTAAACTTCTGCAATCTATGTGTCTCTTCACATTATTGAATTGTATAGCTTTGTTTTAATGTCTAAAAATGTGATCCATGTGTTCCTTTAACGGATAAAAAACGGGACCTATGTGTCCCTCTAATGATTAAAAATTGTGATCCATGTGTTCCTCTAATAGATACAAATGCGATCCATGTCCCCCTCTAATGGATAAAAAATGGGATCAATGTGTCGTTCTAATGGATAAAAATGTGACCCATGTGTCCCTCTAATGGATAAAAAATATGATCATTGTGTCCCTTCACATTGTTGAATGGCGTAGTCTTGCTTTAATGGCTAAAAAACTGAAAGAAAGAAAGACAACGTTTTTCGCGTGGAGAACAAGAACGAAAAAGAATTTCGACTGGTTGGTTCGTTCTCTAAGACTTATCAACACTTTGCCGGTTATTTAAAGCCAGAAATATATATTTTTAGATTGTAAGATTTTTTTAGATACTACTGGTTTAGTGATACAAGTCTTATTATTAACCATTAGCAGCGGGAGAAAAGATGGATTCATAACTTTCCCAACGGCATTTGCACGATAGTGAATATAATGAACACAACGAGAATTGGAAGCCGGCTCTACGATTTAAAAAAAACGTGCGATTATCCATTAAACCACCCGCATATCCAAGCACTTAATCTTCTCAAACGGCCATCCATATAGGTATTGACCAAGCTCGGCTTTGCTTAACTTCGGTGATCGTAAGCCCGGAAAATAAAGTCAAATGGTGGAGAAGAAGATGGTCTTTTTTTTTTCTCAACATTTATTTTTTTTTCCTTGTCCTTCACGTTGAAATACTTTCTTTCTCTATTTATTTCACACAGTCGT